TTCTTTCATTCAGAATCCCGTTAGGAATAGGCAACAATTTTGGCAGGTGAGGTACTGCATTATCTTATAATTAAGATTTAGTTATTTAGTGAGCCTATGTATTTGGGATATGGCTTTCATACATACAGTATGCTCACAATGGCATGGTAAATTAAACCAATTAACATGTTATCTTACACAAGTGTTTCTCAGCCACTATCACCCCCCACACACACCTTACAGAAGTGACAGAATGTCTATCCTGAGCTGGAGTTGGGCATTCCCCCTCCTCTGTGCGGGTATGAAGAGGGTGTTGGGTATTTCCCTTTTCCCATGTCAAACCTAAAATAAAGTTAACTTGGGTAGGGTAAGCCCTTTCTTCCAGCTGGTTAGGCCTTGGTAAAACCCCACAGGCTGGTTAGGCTCTGATAAAATAACTGTCCCTAGTCCAGTCCGTTAAGGTGAAGAGAGGCTCTGCTAGCACCTTTTATTTTTCCTTCACCTTGCAAAATGTACAAGGGAGTTTTTCTCTAGTCTTCAACTAGAGAACCTGGTGTGTTTTCTGTAAAGAAGGCCCAGGAAAGAGTAGGGGACTCTGCACAGCACAGCCCATCAGGGTAAGTCTCCAGTTCACACTTAGATTCCAGCAACCTTCTTATCCCATTAACATTCTTATCTGAGTCTGGGCTCCAGCAGAGGTTCTGTTTGCAGTGATTCTGGTTCATCTATGCTTTAGTTTGAGGTGTCTCATTTCCCTATGACTTGTGTATTTGGGCATATACAAAATGATTTTGTTCAGTGTTTGTTTTTTCTTTTTTACTGAAAAATAAAGATTTGAGCAAAAAGAGTAAGACACTTATCTTACATCTCTATTATTTTATAGAAATTTGACAAATGCTCATTTCATAGAGTAGACCATTGAATGAGAGAAATTACAACTTTAAGGATTTCATCTTCAATGAAGTCTACATGTTTTGACAGTAAAACTATTTTTACCTATTGAAATTTTAAATGGAAGTATACTTAATTACTACTTTTAGTGTTCACTCAAAGGACATTGGGATGACATCTGTTTTTCTCTTATTTGATTCTCTATCTCCTGTGATGGAGATATCATTCTAGACTGGGATATATTGGTGGGCAAAACAGTGAAAGATTTCTGATCTTGAAGAATATGCTCTGCTTTGAGGTAATAAATAGTAAAACATGGTCATAATGAAAATGTAAGTTCTGTGAAATGACTGAAAATAAAGGAAGGCATGTAAAGCACAGAAACTGAGGACACAGGGCAGGCAAGGGTTAACATTTTAAACAGGATATTTAGAGTAGATCATATTGAGGAGGCAATGTATGAGCAGACCCTAAGAGGAAAAGGGGGCCCAGCGTTGGTGGCTCAGACCTTTAATCCCAGCACTCGGGAGGCAAAGGCAGGTGGATCTCTATGAGTTCTAGACCAGCCTGGTCTTGAGAGCAAGTGCCAGGATAGGCTCCAAAGCTACACAGAGAAACCCTGTCTCGAAGAAAAAAAAAAAGAGGAAAAAGGATCTGCTGTGAACATATCTAGCCAGAGGAACTACAGGCAGATGAGACAGGCCATGCAAAGAAAAAAGATTGACAAGAGCTCAGAGATGGCAATGAGTTAGAGTGACGCAATGTAGCAGATGAGACCGAAGTAGTACCAAGGAACAGATAAGGCCTTGGCTTTATTTGATACCATGATTCTATGGACAGGTGGCAGATATAATTGATTTAGCACACAGAAAGAAAACTGGCTACTCTTTTGTGATCTGGCATTATGGAGACTCATTAGCAAGACTTCCAACAAAACAGGTAAAAAATAATCTGTCACAGAAAAGAATTGTCTTCATTGGGGTAGGGGTCCTCGGGCATTAGAAAAAGAGGAAATTTGAAGTTGTTTCTGGTATTGGTAGGATGAAGAAAGATAAAGAATATGGGAAAAGCATTGGATAATGTTTGCTTTGTGGGGAAGGACAGGCTTTATCTGAAAAATGTTCATTTTGAGACACCTACCATGGATACAAATAGAGGTCTTAAATGGATACATGGAACTGAGGAGCATTTTTTGGCTGGAACTGTAGCAGATAGATGCTATTTAAAGGTATGAACATGCAATGTGAAGGTTAGAGAGAGCGAACTGTAGGTGAAAGGTGTAGATAGAGAATGACAGCCACAGCACTTTGAAAGGTGTGTATCTATGAGCAGTGGGTGGTATGGAAAGAAAGGAAACAAGAAAAAATGAGAAGAATCACACACACACAAAAAGAGGGAAATAGATCAAAGTGGAAGTAATCAAACCTGTTTTGTCAAATACTATTGGCATATGATGTAAAATGATACAAACCAAGCATCACTTCAGAAGAGTTAGAAATTGAAGGACCAACTCAAAGCATCTTTTTTATTATACTCACAGATTAGGGCATCTTGCGACTCTCATCAGAGAAACCTCATTTCTCAGTAGATGGAGACTAACACAGAGACAAGTGATTGGCCAAAGAGTAGAAAACAAGTGACTGACTGGGGAGTACTCAGCTCTAAATAGGGACATCTACATCACACCCCTCCCTCCCACAGCTGAAGAGGGTTCAGAAAGACTGTAAGATCCAGAGGCAGTGGGTGGCTACAAGGAAAAGTGCTTTCTGCACACAATTGGGCAGCTGACATATGAACTCACAGCAGTTTTGACAGCATGAATATGGCTTGTGTAAACTCAAGCCAGCCCAAATCATAACACAGAGATGGCAGATGACCATGGAGTCTCATTCCTGGCTGAGGAGTTATTGGTAATTGATAGCTGCTGGAAAAGAGAAATTCGGTTTTCTTTAAGAGTTTTGGCTTCTTGTAGCTCTAATGTACTCTACTGGGTAGCCATATACCCTATTAAATGCAGGCATTTCCTAATTTGACTTTACAGGTTTTAAAAGAATTATATGAGGACACAAAATTGGGTGGGTATGGAACAGGGTATGAGTATTGGAATAGATGGGTGGTTGAACATGATCAAAATATGATATATGAAAATCTCAAATTACTAAAAAACATTAGAAAAAATAAATAGAAGTACTAAAGGAAGGTCAGTAATTGGACACAGAAAATTTGAATACAGGGGTTAGAGATTTCCCGAGAGGCCATGGAAATTTCCAAAAGCAAGAAAGCTGCTCTTTGCCCACTGCACCCACTATGATGCAACATAGGTAAGGACCTGGCTTGCATTATAGCCCTGATGCTCTGATGATGTTCTGATTCAGAAATCCCTCAAACTCCCAAATGGCATCTAGTATACCAATCTCTAGTTGTTTCTATATTTAAAGAACAGTATGAAACTACGATGGCCGTCTACAGCCTGTTCTTAAATTCTGAAAATTGACCGTTTTTTATTCAATTAACAAGAATTTACTTTCTAAAACTTACTGGATTTAATAAGTCCCATAACACACATTCTTAAGTTGGGGAATAAGCTTTATAAAATGAACTGAAAAATAAGAGAGCTTGGGGTACATTTTTTTTCTTAAAGCTCTTCTCTTTGTTATTTCTTATTTTAAATGACCTCATAAGTTTTACAGCACTTCCTTGTAGAGGTCCCCACTGATTTGACTATTTTTCTTCTAAATAAAACAATATTTTTCATGTTATGTCATTGTAAACTCCATTGTTAGGTATGTATGTGATATGATATACATTATATTGGTTGCCTTTTCAGATGCTGAATAAATGATTAGTGATATTTCAAAATAACATGTAATATTGTATAAGAAAAATATTTTCTAAGCTTTCATGTCTTTAATTTTCAAGAACATGAGTGAAGTGTCTGATGTGGTGTCACATGCCTATAATCTCAAGAGAAGCTACATGCTGAGGCCTGACTGGGATATACAGTGAGCTCCAGGTCATCTGCCTTGGCTTCAGAGTTAGGCCCTGTCTCAAGCAAACAAACACCAATAAGAAATCCCACAACACACAGCACCCCCAATTCCACCTAACCCACTTTCCCCTCTAAAAAACAACAAACAAACAAACAAAAACAGTGACATAGTAATTAGAGACAGGGGAAAATATGAATTTTTGAAAATACTTATAAAACTTGTGTTACAAAGATGTCAAGATATATTCTGTTATAAAATTATTTTAATTAAAGAATATTTGTAATAATGTTTTGAGATTACTATGTGGAGAACCATTCAATACTATGAACACAATGTTTTAAGTGTCTTCCAAGTCTCAAAGAGTTCTTAGAATACCAACTCACTTGTTCTCAGGGACATAGTTGTGTGTACCCACCATTTTACCACGTGTATTCTTTGACTGCTACCACCCTATAATACATTTCTGTTTTGGTAAAATGTAGCACTGGTAGAAAAATGTTAACTTTGACATTTAAAAAATGCCTGTCTTTTATTCCTTACTTAAATTATTCCATTTTTTGTGGGGGGCTTTTGTTGTTGTTGTTGTTTTGGGTTTTTTGTCATATTCTTTTATCCTATAGCATAAGATTTATATAAAGGTTATGTTTGGGGCCTTACAAATGAGCTTTACCTGAATTACCAAACAGGATTCTATAATAATTTTACATATAATTTTTGACTCTCAAAATCATGACTTAAAATAAAATAATGAAGATAAAACTCTCACAAGTATCTATATGTATTGACACATGTATTTATAATACATGTGATAACATATATGTATAATTGCAAGAATAAGTAGCATTTGAGTCAGGGAAGAGATTACCATTTGTAGTAGTAAGGAAGATATTATTTTGGTAAGGATTATAGGGTTGTAAGGGATTGGAGAGCCTCTATTTCTTAAGCTAACCATGTTGGATTATGTATCACTTTTTATCATAAAATTTCAAAATTGAATAGTCTCATATAAAGAAAATTATATCATGATTATTTGAATTCTTTTTTTCCCTCCTCAGTGAAATTTATTTGTGGTATCAGGAGACCTCTCATAGCAAGAATTTTGAACAAAATGTCAGTTGTCTTTTCTTTTTTCATTTTCAGTTCAAAAGGACATAGTTCGGATTCTCCCCAGTTTGGATGTTGAAGTCAAAGATATTACTGACTCTTATGATGCTAACTGGTTTCTTCAGTTGCTGTCTACAGAAGATCTTTTTGAAATGACCAGCAAAGAGTTTCCTATAATAGCAGAAGTCATCGAAGTATCTCAAGGGGACCAACTTCCCCGAAGTATTTTACAGCCTGGGAAAACCATTGTGATCCACAAAAAGTATCAGGCTTCGAGGATCCTAGCTTCAGAAATTCGAAGCAATTTCCCCAAAAGACACTTTTTGATCCCCAGTAGCTACAAAGGCAAGTTCAAAAGGAGACCCCGTGAGTTTCCAACGGTGTATGACCTGCAGATATCTAAGACTGAGAAGGAAACTCTCCACGTGGTGGCCACCAAAGCCTTCCACATACTTCACAAGGAGCTGTCCTCTGTGTCTGTTGGGGACCAGTTTCTAGTGAATCATTCAGAGACCACAGAAGTTGTCTTTGAGGGAACAAGAAAAGTGAACGTTCTGGCCTGTGAAAAAATCCTCAATAAGTCCTATGAGGCAGTCCGGCTCCCTCTGTACATGGAAGGAGGTTTTGTCGAGGTGATTCATGATAAGAAACAGTACCAGATTTCAGAGCTCTGTACACAGTTCCGTTGGCCCTTCAATGTGAAGGTATCCGTGAGAGACCTCTTCATTAAAGATGACATTTTGGCAGCTACCCCAGGACTGCAGTTGGAGGAGGATATCACAGACTCCTACCTACTTGTTAGTGACTTTGCCAATCCCAGGGAATGTTGGGAAATTCCTATGAGCCGATTGAATATGACTGTTCAGTTGGTTAGTAGTAGTAATTTGTCTGTGGATACAGGGCCAATTCAAGTCAGGACTCTGGTAGAAGAGATCACAGAAGAACAATATTACATGATGAGGAGGTATGAAAGTTCTCTTTCACACCCCCCACCTCGCCCTCCCAAACATCCCTCGGCAGGGGAAACGAAGTTAACCCTGCTCAGCTTAGCAGAAGAAAGAACAAGAGATCTGCCCAAATCTCCCAAGGTAAGACTATGATTTCACAAATTTCCTCTTCTTGAGACAGTAAAGTTTCGAGTTGCTTCTGAGATTGCATTTTGCTTTCTTTCCTTTCTTCCTTTTCAATTTGAAACACGCCTGCTTGATGGCTGCTGTATGAATGAACATCAACAGAGGAGAAAGCTGTTGCAGCATTTTGTACTTTGATGCTGCACCAGTAGATGTGGTGTGAAATCTACATTGAGTTAGAAGTAGACGTGATGGTGTTAGCTATGACTACACAAATTGCCGTTTCATCGGATTTGACAAATGAACATGTTTAATAAGATACCTCAAGAAATTCCCATTAATTTTGGAAATGTGTTTCATTTTTCTTAGGTAGAATTCTCTTAATACTTCACCCAGAAAATGAGCATACAATAAACTCCCATCTTCTCGGGGAGAGGGAGGAGTAGGAGTTTACTGGTAGCATGCATCTCTAACACATGTCTTCATTTTATTTTATGTGCAGAAAGATGTAAAAATATCTTGGCAGAACTGTGTGTGTGAGAATGTGAGCATCTGCCCACACAATGCCTCTTAGAACTATATAATCTTTAACAGTTCTACTGCAAAATAAGATTAATAAACCTACAGGCACCATAGGATCTCTATGGAATTACCAAATCCACAACATCTCATGATGTTAGATGGTAGTTCAGCAACATTTCTACTTGATGTCGTTGATTCGTAAACACTGCCTAGCTCGCCCTCGCCCAGGACATCTGTGTGTGTGTGTGTGTGTGTGTGTGTGTGTGTGTGTGTGTGTCTGTCTGTCTGTCTGTCTGTCTGTCTGTCTGTCTGTCTGTCTTAGGTTCTATGGTGTATAGAAGGAGTGTGTTCTGTCCCAGCAGATGCTTGACTAGATGCGCAAGGAAAACAAAACAATTAGTAAAAGAGATACTTCCTGTTTATCGTCACATTCAGAAATGAAAGTAGCACTGGGCACCAAGACTCATCTATGGATGTGGATGCGCTTGCAGTTGTATATTTCAAAGACTGTTCCCACTGTATGCTAAAGGAAGCCTGAAGGGTCACTAAACTCATTTTCTAGGAAAAAAAGATAAAACTGGCAAAATTTTCCTTTCTAGAAAAATCATTTTTAAAAATTGACAAAGCAAAACAGTTCCAAAATAACATTAATTAGCTAAAGCAAAGGAGGGCTTCTTTGATTCTTGTACAAAAATGTGTTTTGTGGATGAGTTGAATGATACTGTCACTGGTGGTCAGGGTGTAGGCCTAGTGTTGCCAGGTTCTTGGCATCTAATTGTAAGAATGAAACAATAACCTCACACATATTTGCAAGAGTAGCAAGAAAACAATATTCAAAGCAAAGCCATAGAACAGATAAAAAAATACACTATTAGAAGTGATGGTGGGCCACATGAGTCAAGACAGTCAAGGGCCCCATTATTGTTTGAGGCTTTTATTTATTGGTTGTCAACTTGGTATACCTGGGAAGAGGGACATTCAATTGATGGAAGGCCTCCATCTTATTGGCAGTGAGCACATCTGTGAAGCATGCCTGTGGTTACTAGGGACATAGTTTGGGTGATTGTCCATTTTGATTGACAAGCTTACATGGACTTTGCTTACTGTGCACATCCCTTCCCAGAATGCATCTCACTTTAATTATATATACGCATAAGAAACTGAATAGAAATTTGCTGACAGATTACTAGGTCCATTAGGTGCATTGTTCATATAGGTAGGGATGTGTGTGTGTGTGTGTGTGTGTGTGTGTGTGTGTGTGTGTGTGTGTGTGTGTATGCATAATATGTGTGGGTTAAAGTTCTCAGGCTGCCAATTGCCTGATGTCTGTGAGGGATGTGTACATACCCCAAGCCAAGTAGAATTCCAAGTGACTAAGCTATTCCTTTTTCTTGTCTGCTTCAAAGTGAGAAATAGATGTTTCCTCTTTTTTTAATTGATGGGCAGAATAATGTGCACACCTAACTTCCCAGAACCTACCAGGATATGACATAGAATGGCAAAAGGACTTTTCACATATGATTAAAATCCAGGACCTTGTGATGAGATTATACACGTATTCACATAGGTTTAACTTAATCACTGAAGTCTTCACAAGGAAAGTCTCCAGTGGAGGACAGCATTACAGATGTGGTTAAAGAATGTCCAAAGAGACAACTTTCCTGTTTCCAAAGAGAGAGGAAGGGAGTCAGGCATGAAGTGATGATGCTTCTCCAAACAGGGTCTTCCCTAGATGGTCCAGAAAGAAACAACTTAGCTGGCAATACGTTAGTCTGATTCAATCAGATCTGGGTTGGACCTCTAATTTGCCGAACTGTAAGATAATAAAACTGTTATTTAAAACATTAAATTTATAGTAACATTATAGCAAGAATAAAAAAATGATTCAGAGTTGTTTAGGAATCAATAAAAGCCTTAAATAGCCAAGTCTCTGTACATGAGCTAGGACATATTTCATTAGGAAAATGATTGTTTGTTTTTGACAGTTATGTTGTATAACCCAAGGTATAGGCTAGCCTCAACCTCATGATCTTCTTGCCTCAGCTTCCTTAATAGCTAAGAGATTTGTACCACAAATAACCCATCTTTGACACTAATAACCCACCCTTCCTTTCCCTCCTTCCTCTTCCTTTCCTTGCCTTTCTATTTCTTCCCCAAGCAGCCCCTTCTTTCCTCCCTCCACCTCCCTCTTCCTTCCTTTCTCTTTCTCACCATGCCAGAGTTAGCTTTGTCATGTTGCTATCCTCAGTTGATAGGATGCCTCCATCTGATTGGTCTATGGGAATGTCGTGGGGCATTTTCTTAACTGCTAGTTAATATAGGAAGGTCTGGCCTACTGTGGGTATTGCCATTTCAAGGGAGGTGGTCCAGTGCTACATAAGAAAGGTAGCTCAACAAGAGAGGGAAACAAAGCCTGTAAACAGAATTGCTCCATGATCTCTGATATAATTCCTGCCTCCCAGTTCCTGCCTTGAGCTCCTATCTGTCTCGAGTTTTTGCCTTGGTTTCTCTTGATGATGGCCTACAACCTGTAAACCAAATAACACCTGGAAATTGCTTTTGATCAGTGTTTATCACAGTAACAAAGAAGCAAACTGGAAAATCCCCCTTTTTTGTTTTCCCTTTTTTTCTTTCTACCTTTAAAAGTGAGTTTTATCAGATCATGTGCCCATGGAGAACCTGAGGGCACAGCTAGAATTTAGAACCAAATATCTGAGATATTGAGAAGAGATAGAGCAATATTTACTTTCCTTTCTGTATCTGTTTTACCATTTCCAGCTAGTTTTGTTTTCAGGTATCACAAGACTTCTAAGAGTTCCTGCATCACATATCTCAGTTTCAATACTAGAAAAGAATGCCATCTTATTATCTAGACTGTATTCAAAAAGAGAAAAGACTTAGTTTGGACTAAATACCTCAGTCCTGACTCAGCCAACTCACTGGTTGCCTCAACTATAGGCCAAATTGATGAATGTTTTACAAGTAAACCCATAGAGTAAACACCTTACAAAGAACAAAAATATATTGATCTTAGAATTCTGGAGGATGGGAAGTTGCTGGTGAGTTTGTTCTCCAGGTCCAAGATGGAGTCTTTTTGCTGCTTCCCACAGAAAGAAGGAACACCACTTCCTCATATACCAGAAATTCTGAAGAGAGGAAAACTCATCCCTCAAGACTTTTGAAAATGAAGTTATTAAGTGTACTTTTGCATGGCCAGATCTCACAGTCTGAGCTATTTCAATCCATCCAACCTCCTGGTATTACTAAGTATAGAGGTATAAAATGACTTAGATGTTTTATTAAGAGAAAAATACATAACAATATTATATTTTGTTACTGAAATGACTAAATTAATATATGCTGTTTCTAGATCTACATAGTAATTTGCTGTTCTATAGTAATTTGAGTTTATGGTATTGAGACCTGAGACCCACTATGAACAATCTTGGCTTGGAGGGTTCTCAAGATGTTATGTAGTTCTGGAACTATTTTTATTTGAGGAACAAGAATTAAGTTCCAGCTTAAACTTCAAAGACTTGACCCTAGGTAATATTAGTTATGGGATAAATTTAAAGAGCTGTTTAAACCCTGGATAGATGACACACACCTACCATTGTAGCACTTAGGAGGTAGAGACAGGAGGGTTGGGAGACCTAGGCCAGCCTAGGCTGTACAGGGAAACCCCTCCTCAAAATCAAAACAAGCAAAACAAAACAAAAAGCAGGTAACTGTTTTGTGTCAAGGAGTGCAGACTCAGTTCTTCTAATATCGCTATCTTGGGTTGAGTTGAAGGATGGGCGTATTTGATGCAACACTGTTATGATAGACTGCATATGACAAAAAAAGGTTAGAGCTAAAAACAGGGATTGTGAGTCAAGTGTGGTGTTAGTAGGCTCCTCATCAGACCATTGAGAAAAATTCACAATTTCTTGTTTCAATTAGTTCCACATTTCTCATGTGACTAGAAACAAATCACTATTATTTTCTCTGAAATCTCTTAAAAATATCACTAACATTACCATTTGCCCATGTTTAGACTTACTGGCCTTCTCATGGTCAATAATGTTCACCCACCATGAAGACTGGGATTTGCTTAGTGGATCATTGATGGAACATAGCTCATCAGAGCTGTCAGTTTCTACATAATGTACTCAGAAAATCTTAAAACCAATGGTTTCTCATTACCCCAGTGTCACTCTTCCATGTTTTTTATATTCCCTGGGATAACTGTATTAATGCTTTTCTCTCATGTATTCTTTTGAAGTAATTGGTTTTAAGATTTTTTTAAATGTTTAACATTAGGGAGCAGCCATTTAAAACAAGCCTCTAAGTTTTGGGGTTTTACATGGGATATCGCTTTAAATTTGGAAAATAATTTGTGAGGGTTATTCAGAGTTTAAATATTCAGACTCATTTAGCTTATTAAAATGCCCTTTTATATGCACAGAAAAGAACACTAGATGCTTCATTATATGGGTTTACTTTTGCTTTCCTAA